GGTGGCCGAACAAAAGCACGACGTGGGAGAAGAATAGCAAAGGTGGAAGACACGGAGCACCTTCGACGAGACAAGGTTGCGCGAGGCAAGGTTCAGTACTTAAGGGGGTAGCTAGCCGCTAGCCTGGAATGGTGTGTAACGCCGGCGGGGAGGGGGCGAAAGAAAAAAGAGGATGGAACAGAGGGATGGTGAAAAAAGGATAGGTTGAACCATGGAACAGAGGGAGGGTTGAATGCAGGTAGGATGGACAAACGGTGGTCGCGGTTAGCGACACCCACGCCGAAAGCAAACGCAAAGATGGCCGACGCGGAACGGATTTGGGGCGCAAGCGTAGCTGCATCAGACTCCGCCTATGCGCGGCCGTACCCCTCCGGGTTCCGGTCGTTCTCGGCTCACCCCGTGACGAACAACCCCTCATGCAACGAGCACGCGCCGCTCCGCGAGCATCCCGGTTAGCCACCACCCCCTGCCCCATCGCTTCCCTCTGCTCCGTCTGCTCCCGCCATCCCCCGTGGAAGAGTTCATCCGCGGAGCACTCTTCGCCGGCCAGTCAGCACCAAAAAGTGCAGAGCATCAGGACAACACATCCGCGTATCCGGTTCCACCGTGATTAATTAAAACAATCGGCGACGATTCCGAACACCTTTCACCCCTCGCGCGCACGTCCCGGCGGTTGTCCTCGCGGCGCTGATCCGGTCGTCGTGTCCGCCGCGTCAGTGGACTCCTTCGGAATCAGCTGCTCCTCAATAGGGAATTATTTATTCATACCTCGGGAGGAACGACGTGACGACCCGTCTCCCTCGCCTCTCTTCCCGCCCCGCTGTCCATTTCAACTGTCTAGTTTCTCTTGTGAAGTGTTCGCATGGATTCGTTGGAACCGATCGGAATGCTCGATCGGCGACGCTGCGACGGTTAGGGGATAAGGGTAAAACACTCGGAGAACACACTGTGCGAAATCGGGGGAAGCCGTTCCGTGTGCGCGATCACGTGCAACGATGCGAGATCCGCGATCCGTCCCGTCGATCGTAATAGAACCGGCAGACTGATCGGTCTCCTCCGCCCGAGGATGACTGGGATGAGTGTTCGCTCGTAAAAAGGGGAGAGTGTGGATGTACCATCCTGGTCGTGTACGCGCGACCGTTTACGGTGATTCGTACGTACGGTGTGCCGGCATCCTATTTGCCAGGGATTCGGTGGAAGTGAAGGTAAAAGTACTTTTTACCAGGGCTCGCGGACATTCAAGATTCTTGTCACACAGATGCGAACCACGGATACCGTGGTGAAGGAGAAGAAGCGCAGCTGTCGCTGCTAGTATCGTTCCTGTTCGAGGGTGCCGGTTTCGCGATAGTTTCGGTCTGAGCTTGGACAGCTTGGACGAGGCCGACTTCAAGATGATGTACTCACCGGACAAGATGATGGGGAGCAAGGGACTCCACGGGGCGCCGATCACCGCCCCGGGCTGTTTCCCTTCCGGAAGGTATTCGCCGCCGCCGTATCGCGCCGCGCCGGACCCCATGCCGCCGCCGCCGCGACGCTGCATGCCGAACCCCACTGTGAGTAGCCATCGCACCGTTTTACTTTTTATTTAACCAGTTAATTGCATTTCACCGGTATACACGTCATCTTAAAGCTTGACATTATAGTATTCTTTCAACGATCGGTTCTTTATTTGTTTCAGACAAACATGTAATTCTCCTTTGTTTTGCTTTGGTTTTTCATTCGAATGTACCCTAGGTGCATTCGCCCCGCGTTTGACGAGTATACATTTCATTTTCTGATTTTACTGCGCGTAACACGAGAAATTTTGAGACTACATTCCACAGCTAACAGGTTTACGCTTTGGACTCCTTCCACGAGCGTGACGCGATGTCAATTTCATTCATAGGAGCTTTTATTTCGAGCCACACTCGACACTTTTAACTCCGTTCCATTTTTCCAGTCTTTCTTCGAGCGAATCGCGGTCTCATTTTCTTAGCACCGTTCTGATTGTTTGGTCTCTTTTGAAGTAGGTTCTAATGTTATACAGGATGTTTTTGGATTTGAAAATACCGCGAGGAGACTGATACTGGATTGCGTATTCCCAGTTTTTTCGTAATAAATATATTTACACCCGCATCAGAGTAAAAATGTATCATGTACACTGGTTTCGATATTGTTGGTATTTTTTAAAGTGCATTTCAAGTGGTACACTTTAAATGACATGGTGTTATTGAAAAGAAGACGTAAACAGAATTCGGAGAGGACAATGATTTCTTCTTTCGTAATTGATGGTGCACTAGTTTGAGGGAGCCGTTTTTGTTATATTCTGGGAAAGAAGGAATTATTTACTGTCTTTGCCCGCATTGTTTGAGATTAAATCTCAGGTTCAGAAGTAAACCTTTTATTTCGTTGTACTTTTGTTACAAAACGGTGTACACCAATTTAAAATCGTTAGTTTGAAAATATTATAATTAAGACGTAGATAAATTTTCTTCCTTAAATTTATAAAATTTAGTTAAAAAAATGTTATTGTAATTCTTATTTGAGCAGTGGACAAGTGTGAATGGGGATTTAGCATATAGACCTGAAAAGTGATCATTTTGTAGAAAATCTTTTTCGAGAAAATATAAAATGCGAATAATAGCTACTTTTGCGCAAATGTTCAATAAGGATTAGAGAGCGATGTGAAGTCTTGTTTGTTTAATTTTATAGGTTTTTTGTTACTACTTCTGGCGACGAAGAAAGGCCGCGAATAAGAACACGCACGAGCAGCAGCTGTTTTTGATCTTTCACAAAATTCAAATCATATATTGTAAACATTTTTTATTCTGGAAGAGAGTGATCGCTGTATGAGTTATAATGTAGCAAAAAAATTGAAAATTATGTTTGTGATTTTTTGAGCTTCTTTTGGTTTTCAAAATTTCAAGTTTTGTTGAAATTTCATAGCGATATATATTTTTAAGATTCCAAATGTAAAGGAAATGCGAGGAAACATATATATTGATTTTTTTTATTAAATAACGTCAAGTCTCTACTGAGTTAATCATTTTTTCCGTATTTCAGCCATCGGTTATTAATTTCAATTATATAGACGTGGATCAATTATATAGTCTTAATACAAAGAGGATTCATAGTGGAACTAAAAATATAAACAAAAGCTTTAGTTTGTAGAAATTATAGTTAAAAGTACTTCGTATGAAAAAATATCATAAAATCAAACTTTATACAATATAAAATTGTTTCCTCATCATTTTATTTCTGGAAGCATTTCTTGTATTAAAAAGTTATTTTCGAAATTCATTCTACCCTTATGAAGTACGATTTGTTTTCTATTTACTTTATTATAATTTAAATAATATAAACTTCCCATTTTATGAGAAAATACAAGTAATATGTCATAATTTATAACATTTTCAATAAGAACGGATCTATGCTTCAAGATATTTTTGTTATAATGGATGTTATCTATCTATCTTATACATAATACGTCCCCGATATTTTGTCATATGCAATTTAAATAAATATTTCATACATCTCCTGTTTTAATGAATTTAATTCTGTTATTTCCAATATTTTATAAACAAATTCAATTTTTGTGTATAACAAACAATGGAATAACAATTTAAAATGATAAAATCGAAGTGTCATTTAGTTAATTCATCTCGATGTTACACATCACATTAGTTTCATGTAAAGTTCTTTAAAACTGTACGTCAGTCTTGGAGATTACCATTAGGACTGCAAGAAACAATGCATTATACATGAACAGGTTATTGGATTGAAGAAGTACCCTAATACATTTGGAGCGTAAGGTAGCGATAAAAAAGACATTGAAAGTTCGTATCATCCATTTTCATTGGGACCAGTTTCCCTTGTCACATGTATCACACATTCCGTGTATCCGTCGTTTGTTTTACCGACGCTTACCATACCTTTCACTGATGCCAATCGTTTCAACTTCTTTAAAGTTTCTTTCAGAGTTGTTTGCGTATCTTCCTTTGAATTTAATATTCTCCTGAATTCTAAATCTAGAATTTATTACACTGCTTTCACATTTCATTTGTATACAATTGTCAGTACAGGAATGGTTAATTGTTGTGATATTTAGTATATAGCAATAGTTATTCTAAAAAGAATTGAGACTATAGTGTTAGTGTAGAAAGTATATTATAAATTTTCAATATAATTATTAATCAAACTTACAACATAATGTATCTACAGTTGACTGTTTAAAATGACGAATGCAACAATGGCTGACAAGGGAAGCGTTTGTAAGAGCGAAACAAATGATTTTCGAATTCATAAATTTTTAATGTTTAACATTCATGGAAGACAACTTTTGTCAGAGGTGGAACACAGATAGAACAAGTAATTAATTTGTCACAGTTCTCTAAGTATATTTTACATCGTTGACATATTATTGACCAGAATACAATGTATTTAATTAATTATTTGTACGATATGTATAATATATTCACGTATTAATTCTTTATACAGTACGTTTGTCTTATACAACATACTAACAATAAGAAAGATTTGCATTTTCATTTTCAAAACCATTGTTGAACGTGCATACGATAAAAATCCATTAATTACGCACTCATTTGAATACCTTACGTTTTCCCCGTTAACTGATAATCCACTCAATACATTCCCAAAAATGAAATGAATTTTTTTGCTATTGCGAAATAAGCTTTGTTTATTATTCTTCTTGTCATTTACGCAATCAATTCTTGTCGACTGTCATCTTCATATAATTTTCTTGTCTATCTGTTTTTGTAATAACTATATATTTTTTCAATCATTTCCTATCTATCGAGAATAACGATTTCGATCATTTTTTCGTAGTTGAAACGACATTACTACAATATCGTTTCCATATTTTTTAATTACTACCAGACTAACGGTCAGATTGATAGTATACTCTACATTTGAGAAACAACATTACTCTCCAAATTTCCTGATAATACCATCATGACAAAGCCTCGATACCATTAATACTCATTACAGATTTTTCGTAATGTATACCTTAATCGTTCACTTTCAAATTTCGAATTTCCAAGCTACAAATGAACGAACATCAAATTCTCTAGGAACAATAGAATAAATAGTACAATAAATGTCCGCGAACATAGTGTTCACTTCATTTAGAAATGTGACAGGACTTCTCAGCCAACCTAATATTATTATAATATTATTACATCATGGTATCAATATTATCGAAATTATTCTGCACTAAGTCCCGTCGCATTTCTAACTGAAGTTTAACGCTAGCCTCACAGACGTGAAGTGACAGCACTTCCTACCCAACCTAATATTGTTACGAAACTATTACATCATAGTAGCAACATTATTCTATTAATTTGCAGTAAGTCCCGTCGCACTTCTAACTGAAGTTCAACGCTAGCTGTGATAACTAGACCGTCCATTTCCCCGTATTTCTACCAAAAAAGTGCGCGTGAAAAATATACATAAAATAAAATTAAGTTTAACATTGCGCTTGTTTCAATATTAATTTATTCAAATCACTTAGAACGTCTTCCCAGACGTTCATAACTTATCGGAACACGTTATAAGTTCGTTACCGCGCTTAGTTCCGTCAGCCGCCATAGTATCGGCACGGCGAAAACTCCGGTATCCAAGAAAACGCATACCCTCGTGGGTTCGGTCATCCGTGTCGTCAGCGATATCCGTTTCACGACGTAAACGGGAAAGAACATCGAAGCGGGAGGCATCTAAGCAGAATCAATCGGAGCTCAGGTTCTCCGTAGGCAGAGTCCTATATCCGCCGGTCCTGACAGATCCCGCACTCTCCGCGACGTATCCATCCGCAGCCAGGAATCCCTCTGCAGACTGGTCCCGCGTCCCTCCGCGGGGCTCGAAACCATGGCACACGTCGAACCGACCTACCCCCCGCCCGCCCAACGGAACCCCTCAATCCCGCGATCTCTTTCCTCCACTATGTCGCGGACTCCACGGTCTTTAGTTTATTCATGTGACGTAATAGGATAAAAACCGTCGCTACGAGCTGAGTGCCTAGATGAGATTACAGCCGTACTGTTACGCCCGGTAACGTGAATCCGACGCAATTGCTTCCTCCTCCGATTTTTCGGCTGCCTCTGCCATCGTTCTAGCAACAGACCTCACTCTTTTTTCCCTACCCCTTGTTCCCTCGTTGCCATTCAGCTTCCGATGATGGGTTCAATGTAGCAACGCGTTTTTGGATTCTTCGAGTTGCACGGTATCGGGCGAAGTACCGGCGCAGCGGGTAACGTTACGCGAATTATCCGCGGATTGTTGTTGAATAGTTTATTGGATATTAATAAACAACGCTTGGGCAGTTGTTGACCGAACTTTCAATATTACGCGCAGTTACGATTCTGCGTCAGTAAGTTATATTCAGTACCGTAATGTGATTGCTTCTGTTCGAAGGAAATTATTAGGCTGCGTTTTAGAGGATGATTGTGTATCTGTGGTGAACCTGTTAATTGCTGTCTGGCGGATGAAGTGTTAAGATAGAAATGATTGCAGGTGCGGTGATATTTGAATAGGCGGAACGAAATAAGTATAGGGA